CATCATCATCATCATCATCATCATCATCATCATCATCATCATCATCATCATCATCATCATCATCATCATCATCATCATCATCATCATCATCGTCATCATCGTCATCATCATCATCAGCAGCATCATCATCAACATCATCAGCATCATCAGCATCATCGTCATCACCACCACCATCATCAGCATCAGCAACATCATCATCATCACAACCACCATCATCATCATCACCACCACCACCACCATCATCATCATCATCATCATCATCACCGACATCATCCGCGTCGTCATTATCATCGTCAAGATCCTCATCATTGCTTTCCTCCTCCGTCTCCTGCTGCTGATGCTCGCCACGCTCTACCCACCGCTGCCCCTCCTGACTCCTCCTTGTCAGCCGCCCTTCTCCTGCAAATGCGTCCCTGCTCGCCTCGTTCGACGCCCTGCTCTCCCCCCCTCCTCCTCGTCGTCGTCCTCGTCATCGCTGTCTTCAGGGTCGGCGGCACCGGCCATAAGGCCTTCGCAATACAAGAACGAGGGAGAGAAATAGAGAGAGAGGGGCGATAGAGAGAGATAGAGAGACAGACAGAGACAGAGACAGAGGCATAGGCAGAGATACAGACAGAGACACAAACACGGACACGGACACGAACACGGACACGGGCACACACACACACACACGGACACATACACAGAGCACAGACACGGACACAGACCCAGACACCGACACGGACACGGACACAGAAACAGACGCAGACGGGGACAAAGACAGAGACAGAAACACAGACACAGACACAGGAGCCCGTTTTCCTGTGATTCGCGATCGCGCCCGTGACAGGCCCCTCCCGCCCCTCCCCCCCACGCCATCCCCACGTCACGAGCTGCGCCAGAGCAGCGCAGGAACTGGCCATGCCTGAGCATTCCCACAGGGCGCTGGCGCGAATCGTGACGTGACCGGCCCCCTCCACCCCTCAGCCTCTCCCCAGTGAACCCCGTCATCGCCAGAGTGTATAAAAAAGGCACAGACACAGACACGCAAACAGAGAAAGAGGGAGGGAGAGAGAGAGAGAAAGAGAGACAACAACAAAAAGCCAAGGAGGTCGGAAAGGCGGGATGGAAAGCAGCAGCAGCAAGAAAGCGGAGACCAAGCAAGCAACAACTCAAGCGAAGGTCGGATCCCTGTACGGGTCCAAGGGTCTCCCGTAGTAGTCCTGGCCAGCCGATCAGCCGCAGAGATGTCTAGACCCTCGACAGTCGCCAAAGATATGCCGAACATAACCACCACCCTCGCCCTCCTCGTCCTCCTCCTTCTCCTCGTCACCCTTCTTCTGCGCTTGTATCGAACACTTACCGCGTCCTGTGAAGAAAAACATAGGACGCAACATGCCAAAGCTTATGAGTGATCGCGGCAGCAGCAACGCCAGCCGTAATCGCAGTAGCAGTGGCAAACGTAACCGTAGCCATAGCCGCAATAGCTGCACTGCGCGTGCACACTGTCCCGCTGAGGCCGCACGTCGACTTCCCCGTGGGGGCGCGGTCGTCGTGAGAGGTATGCCGAAATGGGCGGCGTCACCACGCGAACCCTCTCACTGGGGCAGTTAGTGGAACTCCCTATAGGGGAGAGAGCGCGTTTCACGGGCGCTGGCCTTGGGAACATTCGGCGGCGCGTTTCGAACCGGGGGGGGGGCCCTCCCCCCCAACACTCGGCGCCGTCGATCAGAACAAGGGGGACTGCCCTCCCCCCCAACCCCCCCCCCTCCCAGCGGGACGGGAGGGGGGCCTCAAACCCCCCCCCACCCCTCAGCGCCGACGGCGGGGACGCAGCGACGATAACCAGAAGCAGCCCAAGAAAGGGGGGGGGTCCAAACGCCCCCCATACACCGCGCCGGCGCCGGCGCCGGCGACGGCGGGGACGCAGCGACGAGTACCACCACTACCATCACCACCACCACTACCATCACCACCACCACCTCAACCCACCGCCACCACCACCACCAACCCACCACACAACCACCACCACCACCACCACAGCCACCACCACCAGCGCGACCACCACCAGCACATCTCGCCACCACCACCACCACCACAAAAACCCACCACCATGACCACCACCACCACCACAATCTACCAAACCCCACCAACACCCCCGCCACAACCACCACCACTACCAGCAGTACAACCCACCACCACCACCACAAACACAACACCAACCACCACCACCACTACCGCCACCTCCACCACCACCAGCACCACTTCCACGAACCACCGCCACCACCACAACCCCCACCACACACCACAAACCAACACACACCACCACCACCACAACACCACCCCACCACCCACCACCAACCACCACCACCACCACCACACCACGAACCACCCCACCACCAACCACCAACACCACCAACACCACCAACACCAAACCACCACCACAACCAACCACCATACCACCACCACCACCACCACAACCACCACCACCGCCACCACCACCACCACAACCCATCACCACCACCACCACCACCACCACCACCACCACCACCACCACCGTCGTCCTCGTCGACACTCCCCGCCGCCGCCACCCGCCGCCGCAGGCGCCAGCGCTGGCCCAGGAACCGAAATCGTCGTCCCCGCCGCCGCCGCCAGCCGCCGCCGACGCAGGCGCCGGCCCGAGGAGAGGAAGAGAGGAGAAATAGGGGAAGGGCGAACCCCTTCCCCCGTCCGTCACGTGAAAGGGGGGCGTCGAACCCCCCCCATCCATAGGGGGGGGGTCCACGTCCACCCCACCCCACCCCAACCGACCACAGAACGCGCACTTTCCCATGGGGTCACGGTCATTGTACCTGGGCTAGGCGGCACCGCCATGCGGACCTTGTCACTGGGGCCGCAGGTGGAGCTCCACATGACGCCACGAAACGCGCGAAGGGTGCGCCGAACTAGACGGTGCCGCCATGCTCCCCAATTCCACTGGAGCGGTACGTGGAGCCCCCTCATGCGCACGACTCGTGAGCCGTGCGTTGAAATGGGCGGCGCCGCCATGCGGACCCTCCCACCCTGGGGCCGTAAGTGGAGCTCCTGACGGGGCCACAAAGCGTGTGAGGGGGTGCACCGAAACGGGCGGCGCCGTCACGGGAAACCTGCAGCGGGGCCCCTCGTCATAAGGCGGCAAGGCGCGCAGCGCGCCCCGATCTGCCATACCGTGGCACGGCCGAGCACAGGCCAAAAGACGCTCAGGGCCTCGAGCGCGACGCCGAGGACAACACGGAAAGCGGCGTTGCCACCTGCGCCAAAGGCGAAGGGCGCGCCGCCGCCCAGCTCCCGGTGGGAGTTTTCTGCCTCTCGGACGAGTTCACTGTGCGGCCACAAAACGTGGGAGGGGCGGGCCTAAAGGGAGACGCGCGGAGGGGGAGGATGCAGGAAGTAGTGGACCGCGGGGCGCCGCTGGTGCAAAGCGAGGACCCAACGGCACGGGATGGTCGGGAAAGAGAGGAGAGAGGTGGATGGCGATGGAACGAGGCGAGGGGGAAGGGGCGAGAGATGGGGAACAAACTAGGCGCGCTCGCGTCATATATGACATCATATCCCTCCTTCCCGCCCCTTCCAATTGCGCTGAATGTTCTCGATATCCGCGGACACGCGTGGTAGACGACCTCGAATTCAAAAAAAAAAAAAAAAAAAAAAAAAAAATGTGGCATGCGCAATCGTAAAAGAAAAAGGAGAGCTGCACACAGAGGAAGAGGAGGAGGAGGAGGAGGAGGAGGAGGAGGAGGAGGACAAGGAGGAGGAAGAGGAGGAAGAGGAGGAAGAGGATGCTCCATTTTTCCTCAGGCCAGGCTATTCTCGCTGCAGCTGCGGCCGGGCTTGTCTGGCAGCAGCAGAGAGACAAAAGAAAAGGACCAGCTGGGCCACCTTGCCTCCAGCAATTGCCACGCTTGCGGAAGTGCGAGAGCACTCTGAGAGAGGCGCGAAGTGGAGTGGTTGGGCTCGAAAACCGCTTGAGCACAGACAGTTGCGGCCAGCACGGAGACATTCAGCATTGCACACTGTTGCACGTTGCTACATACTCCATTTTTCCTCAGGCCAGGCTATTATCGCTGCAGCTGCGGCCGGGCTTGTCTGGCAGCAGCAGAGAGACAAAAGAAAAGGACCAGCTGGGCCACCTTGCCGATATCCGCCAATATCTAGCGACCCGGCGGTTGAGGCGGCCCTTTTCAGCCGAAATTCCCAACGATGCAAGCGCACCGCGGAGACCCAAGCAGCGAAACGCAGTTATCATCACGCCGCGCAACAAGCGAGGGGTCCACATCATTGTCTCGAGGCGTCGACACAAGACGCCCACAAGGAAACTAAGCGAGGAGGGTAAGGCTCTGCGACCAACGTCCAGAGTTTGCCTCCTGGCGCCTTGCCTTCTAAAACCTGATGCCGATCACCAGAATATTTGCAGCGAGGACCATTGCACTCCGCGCGCAGGGGTTCCAGCGCACATGGGCGGCCAGCATTCCAACAGGCAATAGTAGTGGCCTTTCGCCACGGGGTTCCGAATCTGCAGCATGCAGCATTCACCAGACAAGCTCTGCGCAACAAAGGGGCCAGCCCCGGCTGCTGCCACAGCCAGGACGACCTGGGGTTCTCCAAGGACACAGGCACGTTAAACTGGACGCAGCATCGAATGATACGGAATGAAGCCTGGGCCAGACGATTTCCGATCGACACCTTGGCCGCATCTATGCCAGAAAGCCCAGGAAGGCCTTCAGGATGCATCTTGGACCTGAGGGGACCCCCGGGACTGCCAAGCTTGCCACGACGTGCTGTAGAAAAACTGCTGCATGGCGTGCCAAGATGCACCCAGCCTGCGCTGGGTATGCATTTCAACACGCGCCTAATTACTGCTTATTTTGACAAGTCTTGCTTAGGAGAGTCCCGGATGTCCCAAGTGGCCGATTGCCAGCCCTTGCGAGACATGGCCCGGGAAAGGCCGCGCTTGCCCGAAAACAACTCCAAAAACAGGGGCCTCACACGAGGCCTGCGTCTTGGCGCCTGCTCTCGAACCTGCCGACGTGCCCGAACCTGAGCCCTGCCTCGAGGTTGTTGGCCGACTCGGCCAACAGCAGCTGGCAATCTCGCGGCAGTGTCGCCAGGCGCCGCATTACCCGCGAGCTCTTCTCGTACCTCCGAACACTCATGTCGGAGATCCACCTTCCGCGCCGTTTGATGCCGCCCAGGGACCGAGCCTTGGCCAGGCAGTCGTGTGACGGGCCTGCATGTCTGAGGATGCACGGCGTGAGTTCCCAAGCCTCCAGGCCGACGTCGGCCGCGGCACGCTTGAACATGGCAGTGAAAGCCGCGGCCGACCACGGAAAGAGGAGCTCCGCCGAGAAGCCCTTCTGCTTCGCCAGCCGCTCCACCAGCACGCCCAGGTAGGGCCTCGACACGCTGTCCAGAAGGATCGAGTCGTTGAAGCCTCTCGTCTTGGTCGGCTGCAGCTCCTCCTCTGGCCTCAGCACCAGCGACGCGAAGCGGTAGTCGCCCCCGGCCGTCGCCTGGGCTGGGACCACATGGTTGGCCCGGAGCGACAGCAGCTCGCCTGGCCGAAGGTAGGCGTCTGCCGCCAGCACCACTGCCAGAGCCGCCAGTGGCTGCTTGCACCCGACCAGGGCCAGCGCGACGGCCGCCACGGCGGCCCACGGCACGGGCGCCCGCGTCACGGGCGGCACCAGACGTCGCCAGCCCTGCCGCGCCTTCGCCACCCTCGGCAGCTTCAGCAACCGCCCGGCACGATGGAGCCTTGGCCAGCGATGGCCCACCGCCGCCAGCAGCTTGGCCCCGCTGTTGCAGGGCCCCCCCTGCGCGAACAGGAGGTCCATGTACTCCACCAGGGCCTCCTCGAGCAGCAGGTCGGTGTCGAGCGCCAGGCCGTTGGTGCTGCAGAAGCCGAAGAACCGCTCCAGCCTCCGCTCGTAGTCCTCCTTGGTCTTCGCCGTTGCGCTCTCCTGCCCCAGGACGGTCGGCCCACCAGTACCAGCGATCCTCGCTCGAGCCCGGTCCCTCGCCCCAGCCGCCAGAGGCGGGAGGAGGCCTCTCGACCTCGCAGGGGATCGGCGAGACCTCGTCGATGAGCCGCGCAGCCGCCTTGTCGAGGTAACCTGGGCCGCCGCCACTCTGCCATGGCCCGACGACCGCGCTGGGCACCGGGCCGCTCCGACGCTGCAGCTGTCTCTCGGGAGCCGGCTCGCCGGCGGCGGGGGGGAGCCAGGCGCGCCTGCACCAGCCAGCGCGGGAGGCGCTGCTACACGCCTCAGGCACCTCTCCGCGAGCCTCACGCCGGTGGGCTCCCAGCGCAGCTGCAGCCGCCTTCTCAGCTGGCGTGTCGAACCATCGGCTGGGCCCATCGCTGGGGTTCAGCTCGCTCGCAATCCATCTCACACAGGTGCGAGGCGAGGTGGCCAGAGAAAGGGCGGCCCACTTTCGGAGCAGAAAGAGTACGGGTACAGACACAGCCCGCCCCTTCTCCAGACTTAGAACCATGCCCATGTTGTCACACAGAAATAGATGATGCTTATGATGATGTTTAGCTTGCCTGCATTTGCGCCCCCACCCAAATAACACCGCCCTCAACTCCTTCAGGTGGATTGCCTCCTTCCTGTGATACCTCCTTGCTTGTATAGTCCTCCAATTAACCTCCTCCTTGGTGAACGATGCTGGTAGCTCAGGGAATTGATGATTGATGCTAATGGCAATGTCGTCGTCGTAGTGATCTCCATTCTCAGCGAAAGCATCGAGTCCATCGAGCGGCAGAGACCCGCCCAACGCCCGCTCCCGAGGCCGGCCGGCCCCCTCGACCTTGAAGCGCCAGCGTTCACTCCAGCGCCCCACCTGCCTGACCTCAGACACGGGGAAGTCAGCCTCCTGCACGGCGTAGCCCCTCAGCGTAGCGTCGGAGCAGGTGATCAACCCTGACCACGGCATATCGAATTGCACCGCGAGCAGCGGCATGATGTGCATGGCATTCTGCAGCTCCTGCCTCACTGAAGGCCAGAGCAAGCTAGGCGCCCGGTAGTGCTTCCGAGCGTAGTTGTAGGCGGAGCGGAAGATACAAAGCGTTGGGCGGTTCAGCAACATGGCATGCGTGAAGTGGCCGATCAGCTTCTCGACCTCCCTGCCGGCCACTAGCCGCCGCCTCAAAAGCGCACGCGTGCCTTGCACCAGCCGCCACCGCTTGGAGGAGGCCAGGCGGCACCGAAGCTTGATGCCGTCCAGCTCCAGGCCCAGCGCTTCGACAACATGCTTGCCCTCCTCCACCTCACGCAGCGGCAGCCCGATGTTGGACATCTTCTTGGCCGCCAGTCGCCTGGCGTCGGCAGAGGCACCTGGGCGAGACGAGACGAAGACCTCGTTATCCACGTAAACGATGCGGGGGACAGGCGCTGCCGAGGCCGACGGGGGCACCTGGCGGCCCACCAGCTCGCTCTCGATGCCCCCAAGCCCTGCCCGGCGCAGCAGCTCTCGATGAGCCTGCTGCGTCCATCTCATGGCCCACGAGAAGCCCATGGGCAGCACCCGCAGACAGGGGTAGACCCAGGCGCCTGCAAGGACCGGCTCGCCCTGCACGGTCTTGGCCCCCACCTCGCCAGCCCTGACGGGCTTCATCCCGAACCACTGCACCATGTAGTCCGGCACTTTGAACTGGTAGAAGCAATCAGCAATGTCCTGAATCGAGAACTCTAGCATGTCCCCAGGCTCCGCTTCCAGCCCGACCATCGCCGCGGTCGACGCCAGCTGGATTGAAGTGGGCCGCCTGAGGTTCTGATTGACGGACCTGGCGTCCACTATCAGGCGCAACTTGCCTGACTTCTTGCGCACGAAGAATATCCCAACCTCAAGATCACGGCGAGTACGGAGCTCCACCATGACCCTGTTCAGCAGGTCCTGTACGAACCTGACGTACTCGCCTCTGTCCGCCTTGAGCGTCTTGTCCCAGTAGACCTTGCAGGTCGCTGGCGGCTCCTCCTCAGCCCGAAGCAAAAGCGCACGGGGACCGTCGATCACCTCCTGGCGGTCAGGGTCTGGCAACACGCCCAGCAAGTCCACCGAGCCTGCGGTGTCCGACCACGAGACCAAGCCGCGATCATACGGTGCAACCACGGAGAGGTCCTCAGACGCGTAGTCGAGGGCCTCGGTACCGAGCAACTCCTGAAGGGCTGCCTCGGGGGCGGGCAACGGGCCCGGCGGCATGTCATCGGTGGCCGCGCGCAGGATGCCGTCAAGCGCCGAGAACTGTGCCTGAGAGGGTCTTCCTCCAGGCAAAAACGAGCCGTCCCCATACAGGTTGTTGAGGGCGGCGATGCAGTCGTTCGAGCGTCGGCCGATGGCCGCCTTCCTGCCCAGACGTTGGGCAGCACGGCGAGGACCTCGGCGCTGTTCAGGAGAGCTGTAGGTCACCTCGGGCAAGGGGAACAGGTCCCGCGGCACTACCCTCTCCATGATACGGCCTGAATCTGCGACCCGGGACGGCCAGCCCCCGGATCTTGGGTCCATCATGACTTCTTTGGAGCGCGCGCAAGCGCACGCTCCTCGGCGGCCTTCCTCTCCTCCTTCAAGATGGACGAATCACGGGCCGCCGACTCGGCCACCCACTTCTGAAGCTCCGGGGCCATCAGCGCGCCGCCGGTGCGCCGCGTCCTGCCCAGGTAGTAGTCCTGCAGGTCGAAGTCCTTCCCGGCCTCCCGCTTCTTCTTGACGCGCTGCTCGATGCACTGGATGTGGCGGCACAGGCTCTCCATGCTCGCCAAGCTCGACACGTCGAGCTGGTCGAACGTCGTCGCCAGCTCAAGGATATCCGAAAGCATCTCGTGCGTCACCGCATTGTGCTCGTCATCCTGCAGCTTGTTCTCGTGCTTCCAGGTCGAGTGACGCTGGAGGGGACCCGCCGCCTGCTTAGCTATCTCCTTCACCAGGTACAATGCCGTACGCGGCCCCTCCAGCACCCAGTCGTCGAAGGCACACATCTCCGAACTGTTCGCCACATTCTTCATGTCCCTGAAGCGCCGTCCCGCGCTGTCGCGCAGCACAGGCAAGGTGCGGGCGTCCTCGGCGCTGGATACTCCTGGCGCTCGCACCGGGGGAGTGTCCGTGCCCTCGACGTCGCCGTCCTTCTTCGTCAAGCGCCTGAAGTGCTCGATCATCTCAACCTCCTGCTCCCCCACTTCCACGCGGTAGACCACCGCGGGATCACCTCGCAGGCCCATGTCATACAGGCCCACCGAGCCGCAGCTCACGAAGCTGTCCGATGGTGTGCGGTGCTGCGCCGCAAGCATGAAGGCGTTGCCAACACTCACCTGTGCCGACCGCGCCACACACACCCACTTGAAGAGCTCCGAGCTTGACCCAGCAGGAGGCGAACCCGCCAAGGGAGGCAGGGGGGGAGCCCCGCTCGCGCCGGCTCCCACCGACGCTGGTGGCGGCTCCGGCTCGTCCTCCAGAATGCCCATCGTGCGCCTCTCCTCGGCCGCCTTGGCGCGGCCCTCCTCGAACAAGTCCTGCAGCTCCTGCCCGACCGGCCTCGACGAGAAGCGGTACACGGGCTGGCCGCGCGCCGCGCCCAGCCCAGGGGGAAGCCCCCCTCGGGGGCCCCCCTCCCTGAAGTCCTGGAGGTACTCCAGGCTGATGGTCTCCGCGTAGATGTCCCCATCTGGGGTCAAGATGATGTAACAGCAGTGGTCTACGACCGCGAGGATCAGGCGTTCATGCCAGGGTTCCTCGTCCACCCCGTAGTTGACGAAAACCACGTCCCCGGGCTTCAGCCCCACCAATGACCTTCGCTTTCTCGGAGCCGCGCGCATCTTGTCGGTCCTGCACCAAGGCGGCAAGAACCTCCTGAGGGCCCGGCTGTCTGAGCACGGAAGCGCCCGCCAGCACCAGCCTGCAGGTCACGTAGCAAGAGCAACACAAGGCCTGCGCCGCCAGCACCAGCAGTGCGCCCAACGCGAAGGCCAGGCCGGCTGCCGTCACGGACAGCCCGAAGGGTACAGGAGCTCCCCAGATGTCCTGCGCGCCCAGGCAGGCGTGGGCGGCGCTCGAGAGCCCCAAGGCGCAGGGGCTGACGCCGAACGCCTCCTTGACGCCACTTATGAAGCTGGGCGCCGGGGCAGGGGACTTGTCGGCAGGAAAGGCCCAGCCGAAATCTCCCATCCGCCGCCTCGAAAACCGCTTGAGCACAGACAGTTGCGGCCAGCACGGAGACATTCAGCATTGCACACTGTTACACGTTGCTACAGGATATGGCGGGCGAGCAGGACGATGAGCAGGAACCGGAAGTAGTCGTAGCGCGCACCGTCGGTCCAGCGGACCAGCCCCACGAGGGCAGCGCGGGCTGTCCTGGGCCCGAAACAGGGCTACGCCGCGGCAGCGCCGAGCTTCACATGGAAATGAGACCGATGCGAAGCGGAGTCGGGAAGATACGTTGGAAAAGGAAAAGAAGAGAAGAAGGGGTTGAAAAAAACAAGGAAAAAGAAAGACGAGGAAGACCGGCCGTAGCAAAAACTGGAGTGGAACGAGCGACAAGAGCAGGAGGACCAGGGGAAGGTGGAGGAGCTGAGCATGAGGAAAGCGAGGACGAGGACGAACGAGGCGGAGGAGGAGGAGGAGGAGGAGGAAGAGGAGGAGCAGGAGGAGGACGGTGGCGAGCAGCAGCACTGGGAACTGGAGTGGCAGGAATGGGAGGAGCAGGAGGACCAGAGAAGAAGGAGGGGGAAGGAGGGGGCGAAACGGACGAAAAACGATTCGGATCCAGGAAAGTCGCACACGTTGGGGCGAGAGCGCCAGTCTGAATCGCGGAGCAAAGCGCCGATCCGAAAATGAGCCCCACGCTGCAGCGAGAGCGCCATTCGAAATACAAAAAAACAATCGGACTGCAACAAACTATAGAAAGACCACGTTTGCCCGAGCTTGTACAAAAAAACACGCGACCGAGGAACCCCACACACTTCGGTCGAATTTTTGCGTTTAGCATACCTGACGTGCAACATACGCGGATGATGCTAAGTGGTCAAGAAAGTGCCGCGCCTGCTGCGCCATGGACGACCAGGGCCGATAGCGCAACCACCCCCTGCGCACCTTTTCTGGCGTCGACAAAAAAACAACGCCTGCCACGCTCCCCGATCCTGACACGCATAGAGACCGCGCTGAGAGTCCACCCCCTGCGCACCCCCTCCGTTGTCGAGAAATTGCCACGCCTGCCACGCTCTCAGGCCCTGTCACGCATAGGGGCCGCACAAGGGCCGCGCTGCGATCCTGACAGGGTCGGGTCGCGGGTCCCCCCGGTCAGCTGGGCAGAGGAGCTTCACTGCATCCAGCCGCTCTGCCAGGACCCCCTGCCGCGAGGGGTGCGTGACCCCTTCCGCGTCGCGCAGAGCGTCGATGCCATGATGCTCCGCGGGCGGCGGCTCCAACGCCCATCGCCAAGGGGCGACCTCGCTCACCTCCCCGTAGGACTTCGCGCTAAATCCACCGTGCACGACAGGCCGCAAGGCGAACAGACGAAGAGCTGGCACATCCATCCTGTACGAGGCATGATTGTTGATACCTGTTGAGCGCCCTCCACGGCCGGCATCGTCGCCCTTTCTGGATGGTCGGCACTCTGGATCGGCAGAACGATTCGCCGAAAACTCCTGGCGCCATCTGACCGTATTCGTGTCCGCTTGCGACGACAAGTCCTCGAGCTGGATTGATTCTCGCAGGTCCTGCGACCGCGACCCCTGCGACCAACAGCAGTAGTCCGCGTCCGCGGGACCAGGGGGGCGCTGAATGCGAGGCGCGCCAACGGACCGAACAGAAGTCGCCAACAGAACTGCCGGAGACCGCTGCGGGGCGATGGCGAGCGTTGGCGGGGCCTTCGAGGGAGTGGCCTGCACGGGCGCGGCAGCGCCTTCGCTTTTGGCTCCCCCAACTCGCCGACTTTCCGCCAGCGGTGAGCCTCCGCCCCCCCCCATCCCCCCAGGCAGATCAGAAGGAGCATCAAGGGGAAACCCGCCCGACGCAGGGTTCAGCAGGTGCGTCACCCGGTACAGCCTCCTGCCATCTCCGTTCTCCCCTTGACGTGCCAACTCGCTGCATCTGGCGCGCAGCGCATCGGGCCACAAAACTTCCACGTTGGCGGCGCATGCTGGAAATGTGGACTGGGCCACCGCGCCAGGGCATCCGCGCAAGCTTTCCAGACCCCCCTCGCCGCCCATCTGACTCAAGGCGTTCTTCCACGTCGAACACGGGGGCGGCAGCCCGCCCATGGCAATGTTTGGCGGCATCACTGACGCGCCTGCGTGACAAGCAACCGCGGCCGTCGATGGGGGACCTCAGCGCGCCCGCGAGAAAACCGCGGCGCCCCGTGAAAAGTATTGAAAACGAGCTCAAGGACCATCCCCTGCGCACCCCTTTTGGTGTCAAGCATATGCCATGCCTGCCGTGCCCTGCGAGCCTGGAGCGCATAGAAACAGCGCTCAGGGACCGCCCCCTGCGCGCCCCTCCGGAGCTGAGAAAATGCTACGCCTGCCGCGCCCTAGGAGCCTGAAGCGCATAGAGACCGCGGTCGGGGACCACCCACTGCACATCCCCTTCGGCGTCGAGAATATGCCATGCCTGCCGCGCCCTGCGAGCCTGGAGTGCATAGAGACCACGCTCAAGGACCACCTCCTGCGCACCCCGTCTAGGATCGAGAAAGTACCACGCCTGCCATGCCCTGCGAGCCTGGAGCGTATAGAGACAGCGCTCAAGAACCACCCTCTGCGCACCCCCTCTGGCGTCGAGAAGAAACCATGCCTGCCGTGCCCTGCGAGCCTGGAGCGCCTAGAGACCGCGGTCAGGGGCTACCCCTCGCGCACCTCCCCTGGCGTCGAGAATCTGCCACGCCTGCCGCGCCCTGGGAGCCTGGAGCGCAAAAAAAACTGTCTGAGACCACCCCCTACGCACCCCCCCTGGCGCCGAGAAAAGACCATGCCTGCCGCGCCCTGCGAGCCTGGAGCGCATAGAGGCAGCGAGCGCTCAGGGACCACACATTGCGGACCTCCCCATGGAGTCGAGAATATGCCACGCCTGCCGTGCCCTGTCAGCATGGAGCGTATATAGACCGCGCTCAGGGACCACACATTGCGCACCCACTCTAGGATCGAGGAAGTGCCACTCCTGCCGCGCCTTGCAAGCATGGGGCGTATAGAGACCGCGCTCAGGGACCACCCCCCTGCGCCCCCCCTTCTGGTGTCGAGAAGGGGTCATGCCTGCCGCGCCGTGCGAGCCTGGAGCGCATAGAGACAGCGCTCAGGGAGGACCACCCCCTGCGCACCTCCCCTGGCGTCAAAAATATACCATGACTGCCGTGCTGTGCGAGCCTGGAGCGTATAGAGACGGCGCTGGGGGACGACCCCTGCGCACCCCCGCTGGCGTCGAGAAGCCATGCCTGCCGCGCCCTGCGAGCCTGGAGCGCATAGAGAGCGCGCTGAGGGACCACCCCTGCGGACCTCCCCTGGAGTCGAGAATCTGCCACGCTTGCCGTGCCCTGGGAGCCTGGGGCGTGTAGAAACAGCGCTCGGGGACCACCCCCTGCGCACCCCCCCTTCGGTGTCGAGAGTATGCCATGCCTGCCGTGCCCTGGTAGCATGGAGCGTATATAGACCGCGCTCAAGGGCCGCCGTCTGCGCACCCCATCTAGGATCGAGAAAGTGCCACGCCTGCCGTGCCCTGCGAGCCTGGAGCGTATAGAGACAGCGCTGAGGGACCACCCTCTGCGCACCCCTTCTGGCGTCGAGAAGGGGTCATGCCTGCCGCGCCCTGCGAGCCTGGAGCGCATAGAGACAGCGCTCAGGGAGGACCACCCCCTGCGCACCTCCCCTGGCGTTAAGAATATGCAATGTCTGCCGTGCCCTGGGAGTATCGAGCGTATATATATATAAATATATATATATAGAGAGAGAGAGAGAAAGAGAGAAAGAGAGAGAGAGAGACCGCGCTCAGGGACCGCCCCCTGCGCACCCCGTATGGTGTCGAGAATGTGCCACGCCTGCCACGTCATGCGAGTATTGCGCGTGTTTGTTGTGCTGCGTGCGCGTCATGTGGATGTGTATGTGTTGCATGCGCGGGTATGGCGCGCGTGTCGTATGGCCGCCTAGGTCAGCGTACGCGTCCCTTGTGTATGTGTATGGTGTGTGAGGTTGGTTGGTTGGTTGGTTGGTTGGTTGGTTGGTTGGTTGGCTGGCTGGCTGGCTGGCTGGCTGGCTGGCTGGCTGGCTGGCTGGCTGGCTGGCTGGCTGGCTGGCTGGCTGGCTGGCTGGCTGGCTGGTCGCTGGCTGGCCGGCGGGCTGGCTGGCTGGCTGGCTGGCTGGCTGGCTGGCTGGCTGGCTGGCTGGCTGGCTGGCTGGTGGCTGGCTGGCTGGCTGGCTGGCTGGCTGGCTGGCTGGCTGGCTGG